CGTTACCTGTATTAATGGCACCTGTTTGAACTTGTTATCAGTATAAAATACACCTGTCCACAACCTCAAACAGTCACACTCCAAACTCCACTATGGCCAAGACCAAAGAGCTGTCAAAGGACACCAGAAACAAAATTGTAGACCTGCACCAGGCTGGGAAGACTGAATCTGCAATAGGTAAGCAGCTTGGTTTGAAGAAATCAACTGTGGGAGCAATTATTAGGAAATGGAAGACATACAAGACCACTGATAATCTCCCTCGATCTGGGGCTCCACGCAAGATCTCACCCCGTGGGGTCAAAATGATCACAAGAACGGTGAGCAAAAATCCCAGAACCACACGGGGGGACCTAGTGAATGACCTGCAGAGAGCTGGGACCAAAGTAACAAAGCCTACCATCAGTAACACACTACGCCGCCAGGGACTCAAATCCTGCAGTGCAAGACGTGTCCCCCTGCTTAAGCCAGTACATGTCCAGGCCCGTCTGAAGTTTGCTAGAGTGCATTTGGATGATCCAGAAGAGGATTGGGAGAATGTCATATGGTCAGATGAAACCAAAATATAACTTTTTGGTAAAAACTCAACTCGTTGTGTTTGGAGGACAAAGAATGCTGAGTTGCATCCAAAGAACACCATACCTACTGTGAAGCATGGGGGTGGAAACATCATGCTTTGGGGCTGTTTTTCTGCAAAGGGACCAGGACGACTGATCCGTGTAAAGGAAAGAATGAATGGGGCCATGTATCGTGAGATTTTGAGTGAAAACCTCCTTCCATCAGCAAGGGCATTGAAGATGAAACGTGGCTGAGTCTTTCAGCATGACAATGATCCCAAACACACCGCCCGGGCAACGAAGGAGTGGCTTCGTAAGAAGCATTTCAAGGTCCTGGAGTGGCCTAGCCAGTCTCCAGATCTCAACCCCATAGAAAATCTTTGGAGGGAGTTGAAAGTCTGTGTTGCCCAGCGACAGCCCCAAAACATCACTGCTCTAGAGGAGATCTGCATGGAGGAATGGGCCAAAATACCAGCAACAGTGTGTCAAAACCTTGTGAAGACTTACAGAAAACGTTTGACCTGTGTCATTGCCAACAAAGGGTATATAACAAAGTATTGAGAAACTTTTGTTATTGACCAAATACTTATTTTCCACCATAATTTGCAAATAAATTCATTAAAAATCCTACATTGTGATTTTCTGGAAAAAAAATTCTCATTTTGTCTGTCATAGTTGACGTGTACCTATGATGAAAATTACAGGCCTCTCTCATCTTTTTAATTGGGAGAACTTGCACAATTGGTGGCTGACTAAATACTTTTTTTCCCCACTGTATATATATATATAGTACCAGTCAAGTTAGGACACGCCTACTCTTTCTAGGGTTTTTCTTTATTTGTACTATTTAATACACGGTAGAATAATAGTGAAGACATCAAAACTATGAAATAACACATTGAATCATGTAGTAACCAAAAAAAGTTTTAAATAAATATAAATATATTTGAGATTCTTCAAAGTAGCCACCCTTTGCCTTGATGACTGCTTTGCATACGCTTGGCATTCTCTCAACCAGCTTGAAGGAGTTCCCACATATGCTGAGCACTTGTTAGCTGCATTTCCTTCTCTGTGGTCCGGCTCATCCCAAACCATCTCAATTGGGTTGAGGTCGAGGGATTGTGGAGGCCAAGTCATCTGATGCAGCACTCATCACTCTCCTTCCTGGTAAAATAGCCCTTACACAGCTTGGAGGTGTGTTGGGCTCATTGTCCTGTTGAAAAACAATTGATAGTCCCACTAAACCCAAACCAGAAGGGATGGCGTATCGCTGCAGAATGCTGTGGTAACCATGCTGGTTAAGTGTGCCTTGAATTCTAAATAAATCAGACAGTGTCACCAGCAAAGCAGCTCCACACCATAACACCTCCTCCTCCATGCTTTACGGTGGGAACTACACATGCGGAGATCATCCGTTCACCAACACTGCGTCTCACAAAGACATTGCTGTTGGAACCAAAAATCTCTAATTTGGACTCCAGACCAAAGGACATATTTCCACCGGTCTAATGTCCATTGTTTGTGTTTCTTGGCCCAAGCAGGCCTCGTCTTCTTATTGGTGTCCTTCAGTAGTGGTTTCTTTGCAGCAATTTGACCATCAAATCAAATCAAATCAAATTTTATTGGTCACATGCACCGAATACAACAGGTGCAGACATTACAGTGAAATGCTTACTTACAGCCCTTAACCAACAGTGCATTTATTTTAAACAACCAAGTAAGAATAAAACAACAACAAAAAAGTGTTGAGAAAAAAAGAGCAGAAGTAAAATAAAGTGACAGTAGGGAGGCTATATATACAGTAAAATAAAGTGACAGTAGGGAGGCTATATATACAGGGGGGTACCGTTGCATAGTCAATGTGCGGGGGCACCGGCTAGTTGAGGTAGTTGAGGTAATATGTACATGTGGGTAGAGTTAAAGTGACTATGCATAAATACTTAACAGAGTAGCAGCAGCGTAAAAAGGATGGGGTGGGGGGGCAGTGCAAATAGTCCGGGTAGCCATGATTAGCTGTTCAGGAGTCTTATGGCTTGGGGGTAGAAGCTGTTGAGAAGTCTTTTGGACCTAGACTTGGCACTCCGGTACCGCTTGCCGTGCGGTAGCAGAGAGAACAGTCTATGACTAGGGTGGCTGGAGTCTTTGACAATTTTGAGGGCCTTCCTCTGACACCGCCTGGTATAGAGGTCCTGGATGGCAGGGAGCTTTGCCCCAGTGATGTACTGGGCCGTACGCACTACCCTCTGTAGTGCCTTGCGGTCAGAGGCCAAGCAGTTGCCATACCAGGCGGTGATGCAACCAGTCAGGATGCTCTCGATGGTGCAGCTGTAGAATTTTTTGAGGATCTGAGGACCCATGCCAAATCTTTTTAGTCTCCTGAGGGGGAATAGGCTTTGTCGTGCCCTCTTCACGACTGTCTTGGTGTGTTTGGACCATGATAGTTCGTTGGTGATGTGGACACCAAGGCCTGATTCAGTTGATGTTGAGGTGTGTCTGTTACTTGAACTCTGTGAAGCATTTATTTGTGCTGCAATTTCTGAGGCTGGTAACTCTAATGAACTTATCCTCTGCAGCAGAGTTAACTCTGGGTCTTCCATTCCTGTCGTGGTCATCATGAGAGCCAGTTTCATCATAGCGCTTGATGGTTTTTGCAGCTGCACTTTAAAGTTCTTGAAATTTTCCGGATTGACTGATGGACTTTCTCTTTGCTTATTTGAGTTGTTCTTGCCATAATATGGACTTGTTATTTTACCAAATAGGGCTATCTTCTGTATACCCCCCCTACCCTTGAATGAGTAGGTGTGTCCAAACTTTTGTCTGGTACTGTGTGTGTGTGTGTGTGTGTGTGTGTGTGTGTGTGTGTGTACAAACACACACACACTTGTTTTTCTTTCCTCATGGGGACCTAAAATTTGATTTAAATTCAAAATCCTATTTTCCCTAACGCCTAACCCCTAAACTTAAAATAGCCTTTGTCCTCATGGGGATGTGGGAAATGTCCCCACGATGGAGAATTTTACGTGTGTTTCTGTCCTAGTTTTACCGTCCTTGTTGGGACTTTTGAGGATGTAAGAACAAGACAGAGCAGTGTTTGGTGCCTTTTGTGTTGCGGGGCCTGAGGGCAGACTGGCAGACAGCGTATTGTTGCTGACTCTACTGTCCCAGAAGTGCAGACTGGTGTGAGAGCGAGGCGGGGGGATTATCCTGCTTTCTGTGGCTGCTGACTGGGCCTGCGTGTCTCATCCTCTCTCTCTCTCCCTTTCATCCCTCTCTCTGTATTTATCACTCCCTTTTCATCTGTCCATTTATGTCTGTGGCCAGGGCCAGGCTGTAGTGGCCAGGGCCAGGCTGTAGTGGCCAGGCTGTAGTGGCCAGGGCCAGGCTGTAGTGGCCAGGGCCAGGCTGTAGTGGCCAGGGCCAGGCTGTAGTGGCCAGGGCCAGGCTGTAGTGGCCAGGGCCAGGCTGTAGTGGCCAGGGCCAGGCTGTAGTGGCCAGGGCCAGGCTGTGGTGGCCAGGGCCAGGCTGTAGTGGCCAGGGCCATGCTGTGGTGGCCAGGGCCAGGCTGTTGTTGTTGTAGGACTAGGAGGTGTGATTGAGCTCTGGCACAAACGTGTGTCATCACTGGGGTAATTGCAGGCAGGTCTAATGTGACGGGGCCTGAGCAGAGCTCTGGTAGCTTTGATCTACCAGGGTGGATGACTGGTCGTTGGGTAACAGAAAGAAACAGCTACAGTGCAAATGGAACCCTATTCCCTTTATAGTGCACTACTGTTGACCAGGGCCCATGTAGGGAGGAGGGTGCCATTGGGGAAGCATCCAGAAGCAGCTTGTTCTGTTGATACAGCTTTGATGAGTCTGCTTCTGAACCATTTAAGAGATCGTTAGCTAAATGCATTTAACAGATCAATGGTACTTTGAAGTCAATACAAGCCTGGACACACACGCACACTGCAGGACAGTAGGAGGACAACTGTTTAATCAACTGAAATTAATGGAAATGAACTAGTACGCTATGGGTCTGTGTTTTAGGCGTATCTAATAAGAGCTGATAAACCAGTTCGAGTCACATTCTGTTTATTCATTAGTCATTCTGAACAGAGAGAGAGAGGTTGAGTCATTCTGAACAGAGAGAGAGGTTGAGTCATTCTGAACAGAGAGAGAGGTTGAGTCATTCTGAACAGAGAGAGAGGTTGAGTCATTCTGAACAGAGAGAGAGGTTGAGTCATTCTGAACAGAGAGAGAGGTCCTATGAATTCAGGTTTATCAGGCTCTTGCTCCCATTCAACTCCTCTACCTTTCTGCTGTTCACCTGCATCTTCTTCTTCCTGATTCCGTCAGTGGATACAGCATTGGAGCTATACACTTCGTTTAGTGTGCACTACTCAATAAAGACTTGTTAGCCCAACTCACCCTCCCTTTTCTCTCTCTCTCTCCCTCCCTCTCCAGGGTCATCTTTCTGAGGGCTTGGTGACTAAATGGTACCGGTCTCCTCGCCTGCTGCTCTCTCCTAACAACTACACCAAGGCCATCGACATGTGGGCCGCCGGATGCATCTTCGCTGAGATGCTCACCGGGAAAACACTCTTCGCAGGTCAGTCACGCGCACTCTCATACTGGTGACCCGTGAGGCAGGTGACTGTGCCACTGAACTGTGGGGCAGAAATATAGGTCACAGGATTCATGGCACGTGTGTTCTGGCAGAGCTAACACACACACACACACCTCACGCTCTCTGATTCACATAGCGTAACTGATATGGGGCAGGCAGTTTTAAGTGGTGCCACAGGGTTTGGATATGGAGCTGCTAGTCTATATCAGTGTATTTAACTTTGGGGGGGGGGGGGTGTAACTTTGAAAGTTAGCTAGCTAACTGAGGTAACATTGGGAGTTGGCTAGCTAACTGAGGTAACATTGGGAGTTGGCTAGCTAACTGAGGTAACCTGGAGAGTTGGCTAGCTAACTGAGGTAGCCTGGAGAGTTGGCTAGCTAACTGAGGTAACCCGGAGAGTTGGCTAGCTAACTGAGGTAACCCGGAGAGTTGGCTAGCTAACTGAGGTAACCCGGAGAGTTGGCTAGCTAACTGAGGTAACCCGGAGAGTTGGCTAGCTAACTGAGGTAACCCGGAGAGTTGGCTAGCTAACTGAGGTAACCCAGAGAGTTGGCTAGCTAACTGAGGTAACCCGGAGAGTTGGCTAGCTAACTGAGGTAACATTGGGAGTTGGCTAGCTAACTGAGGTAACCCGGAGAGTTGGCTAGCTAACTGAGGTAACCCGGAGAGTTGGCTAGCTAACTGAGGTAACCCGGAGAGTTGGCTAGCTAACTGAGGTAACCCGGAGAGTTGGCTAGCTAACTGAGGTAACATTGGGAGTTGGCTAGCTAACTGAGGTAACCCGGAGAGTTGGCTAGCTAACTGAGGTAACCCGGAGAGTTGGCTAGCTAACTGAGGTAACATTGGGAGTTGGCTAGCTAACTGACTGAATCTTGTGCTTAATGACCAGACTGAAAGGAATCAGGTCCTGTTTTTAGAGTCTTTGGTATCACTCACTCGACTGGGGATCGAACCCCCAACCTTTCAATCTCAGGGTGGATACTAACCACAAGGCCACTGAGTTGGGTGATCCGACAGTTGGGTGTAAATGAACCCTGTGTTATCCTGTAATAACCTGTGTTTTTAACCCTGTCTGAACCTGTGTTCTGCAGGAGCCCACGAGCTTGAGCAGATGCAGCTGATCCTGGAGTCCATCCCTGTGCTGAGAGAAGAGGACAGACAGGAGTTACACAGTGTTATCCCCGTCTTCATACACAGTGACATGTCCCAGCCACACAACCCGCTGGACAAGCTACTGCCTGACGTCAGCCCACAGGGTGAGTCTAGACACACACACGCACTTATGTAGACAAATACACAGTGACGTACACACACACACACACACACACACACACACTGAACAAACTGCTGCCTGACATCATACCACCAGGTGAACACACATACAGGGTGGCGCAGCGGTCTAAGGCACTGCATCTCAGTGCTTGAGGCGTCACTACAGAACCCCTGGTTCGATTCCAGGCTGTATCACAACCGGCCGTGATTGGGAGTCCCATCGGGCGGCGCACAATTGGCCCAGCGTCGTCCGGGTTTGGCCGGTGTAGGCCGTCATTGTAAATAAGAATTTGTTCTTAACTGACTTGCCTAGTTAAATAAAGGTAAAATAAAAAAATAGACACACAAAACCCCATACATGCCACTCTGTACCATGGTAAATGCTAAACTTCCCTTCCAGCCCTGGACTTCCTGCAAAAGATCCTGACCTTTAACCCCATGGACCGTCTGACAGCAGAAGAGGCCCTAGCCCACCCCTACATGTCCGACTACTCCTTCCCCCTGGACGAACCCATCTCCCTGCACCCTTTCCACATAGAGGACGAGGTGGATGATATCCTACTGATGGACCAGGGCCACAGCCATACCTGGGACAGGTACATAGAGACATACTGTAGTATACAGTCACTTCCACCTGGGCTCCATAGCTAGCTAGTTATAGAAGAGGCTTTCTTTACTGTGGATGTCAAACTCAGGGGTTTGTGCTTGGCTTGTCTAACTCTGTCTCTCTCTCTCTCTCTCTCTCTCCCCTCCATCAGGTACCGTGACAGCCAGCTTTCAGAAGGGGACTGGCACCTCCACACCCACAGCACTCTGGACACTGACGAGGTGCAGGTGGACCCTCGGGCTCTGTCTGACCAAACTGATGAGGAGGAGGTCCAGGTATGGAGAGAGACACATACACACACACTCCTTCCTCTAGTCACCACCCTAACCCCTGTCCCTCCTACCCCTCCAGGTGGACCCTCGTAAGTATGCAGACGGAGACAGGGAGTTCCTGGACGATCCATCCTACGGCTACTCCTCCCTCTTCACTCCCGATCGCTCGTGGCCCGACCCCGATGACGAACACCTCGACCTTCACCACGAGAACAAGTACTGTGACCTGGAGTGTTCCCACACCTGCAACTACAAGGCCGTGTCTCCCTCCTACCTGGACAACCTGATCTGGAGGGACAGCGAGGTCAACCACTACTACGAGCCCAAGCTCATCATAGACCTGTCCAACTGGAAGGAGCAACAGAGTAAAGAGAAACAGGCTGCAGGCAGAGACAAGGAGTACAAAGCCCAGAAGAGCAAGTGTGAGAAGAACGGCCTGGTGAAGGCTCGGATGTTTCTACAGGTAGAGAAGAGCCAGGGCCCGGTGGAGAAGGACTCCCAGCAGGAGAAGAACCAGACCCAGGCTACTCAACAGAACCAAGGCTTTGACTTTGACTCCTTCATCGCCGGCACCATCAAACTGAGCCTGCAAACCGAGCCCAGCGAGGTGGGACTCCTGAGCGAGGTGGGACTCCTGAGCGAGGTTGGAGTGAGCCTCCTGAGCGAGGTGGGCCTCCTGAACGAGCTCAACTCGTCTGTGTCCCAGCTGGAGGCTCCGCGGTCAGGCTCCATGTCCAAATCCATCAGCCAGGAGAAGGAGGAGAAGTGTCTGGTGAACTTTGCTCAGGTCAGCAGCACCGTGGGGACCACTGGGTCTGGGGCGCGTCCCGCTCACCCCTGGGAGAGCTTCGGAGGTGGGGAGAGGGTGGAGGAGGTGAGAGGTGGGGGTCTGATGGACGAGGCGGGGCACTGGGATGTTGGGAAAGAGGAGCAGCACCAGAAGGACAGCTCCTACACCAGCTACCTGGACAGACTGTTCAGCAGGAAGGACGAGGGGGGTGGGGAGAGTGCTGCTAGCGCCGCCGACACCCCAGAACCTGAGCCCTCGGAGGTGGGAGGGGAGAGGGAACAGGACGAGGGGGGCTTCCTGGCGCGGAACGGAGAAATCATGTTTAACATGCAGCTGGACTCTCTGGCGCTGCCGGGGTTCGACGCTACGACCGACCTGCCGCTCAAATCCATCCAGGCCTCCCTCGCTCCCTCCACTGTCAAATGCTCGCCTCAGATCGCCCACACAACCTACAGCAGCTTCTTCAAGCATCTGAATTAAAAACACATGATACAATACCATGCTCCTCACAGTGCAAGATCTCTAGGCTGGTTCTGTTCTGTTGTCCTTGTATTTTATTTCATTATGATAGTAATGTTATTTTACTTGAATCATTTCATACCTTATCGTATGGTTCCTTTTTAAAAAATACACTTTTGTTTTTTTTTGTTGTAGGAGTTTTGAAGGTAAAATAGACTGGGTTGAAAGTTGCTAAAAGATCAAACTTCAGAGTTGGTACCTCTGGGTCACTGGGCCCTACCTGAGTTGATCTCCTGAATTATCCCTCAGCATCCACAAACTGGCAGCATTTACACTGCACACTGAGTACTGTAGACTAAAGGAGAGGAAAGGAGGAGTGGGGAAGAGGGAGATGGAGAATTGGATAGGAGGTATAGAGGGATATGAAAAGTGGTGCTATGTTAGCAGAACAGCCTGTTCATCCTGCAGCCTTCCCCTGAGGGAGGTCATCACTGATCTAGACCTGGTTGGATAAGTGAAAGGAAGGTTTGCACCCTATTACTTCAACCGATCTAACCTTCTCAGATCAGTGACGTGGTCAACGAAGGAAGAGATGTGTAGAGATCCCATCTTTGTATCAGTGCCATTAGTGTCTCTGACAACATGGGCAGTGCCATTGAGGTTAGCTCCATTTTAAAGTAGTACATTTTCTTCTTCTTTTGATGTTTGAAAAGAGTGTAACGGTAATATTGGTGACTTACCGCCACATGCAATGCTGGACTCTTGAACCAAATCTTTATTTTGGCCACTAGATGGCGGTCATATAGCTTAAAGCCATTTCCAAACTAGGCAAACCAATTTGAAGAAGACAATGCTCTGATCATCGGCTGATCGCTCCCAACCCATAGGAATCCCCACCCAGTTGAATACTTTAAAATGGTGGAAGCCCTCAATGTCCATGCAAAAAAACAGGTTATTTCCAAGTAATGATCTCTGTACATCTCCATGGGAAGGATACATATCTTAGCAGGGCCAATGTGAGAAGATGGAGGGCATTGTATACTGAAGGAGAGAGGTGTATTGTGGGAGACGTAGTCATACAAACGTCGCCATCGCTGTAGGCCTTTTCACTATTATTTTTACCAAGTGTTTAACTTATTTCTGTATCATTTCTCAAAAGAGGCTTCCTTAAACCCCCTCATTTCATACTGTAGTTTATTTGACACATGATGCCAGCAGCGAAGCATTATATGTGGACCTTTTTTGTAAATGTGTTATCTACCTCAAGGTAACAGCAGCGAGAGACACTCGAAGCTGCACTAGTGCTTTACACACACACACATACACACACACACTGCATTGACATAGTGACCTTCTCTTCTGATTGACAGTCGTGTTTCCATCATTATTTATTTCTAGCAGATATTTATTTGAACGGGACAACGTGTTTATTTCAATGTAACTGTCCTGGACACCAAGGCGTTGGACGAGGGGGAGGGAGAGAGATGGAAGGACATTCATTTTCATTTTGTCACTATGTTGAGTATGTGGCTCATTTAGTTATGGTAGGATGCAAGTTAATAATTAATCTGTTTTAAGTTATAGAAGCTTTCCATTTTCAATCATTTGTCATAATATTTTATTTATAGGTGCATTCTGTTTTTTGGGGGGGAACTGCTTCATGAGAAGCGCCTAAAAGTCTTAATTTTTTTTTAAATCTAAATGTAAATTGTTAAAATCGTGTGCATGGAAGAAACAGGAGGTACATTAAAACAAAGTTAATGGTGTACGTCATTACATTTATTTTAAATGTATGTTTTTATTACATATTTTATTTTCCAAGCAAGCATGATACGATTAGGTTATGAAGGTGTAGCATGTACATTGTTTTGCCTTTAAAAGCTGCCTCTCCATTCTTTTGTAATCATCGGTTCCCCTGTTCTACGAAATATCTAATTAATAAACATGGCCAGCAAAGAGTTGGACTGTATTTTTTTCTTTCTCCCTTTTTAGAATGGTTTCAAATCCTATTGTTTCAAAGACAACTGTTGAAAAAGCGCTATGGACAAACACATTATCTTCATGCAACCTCTTCCTCTCCTCCCTCCCCTGTGTGTAAAGTGCGGACTGCAGTTCCCTATTGCAGTGTCCAGTTTTACAATGTCCCAGTAGACGGGTTTTATTACACTGCACAGCAACTGAACCACCATGTAGATCTAGGGGGTGTCCCAAATGGCACCCTATTCCCTATATAGTGCACTACTTTGGACCAGAACCCTATGGGTCAAAAGTAGTGCGCTATATAGGGAATAGGGTGCCATTTGAGATGCACATTGGCCCTGATCTACACTACCAGATACCAGCGCTGTACCCAGCCCAACACCTCACTAGGATTGGGTTACGATATCACTGATGCTATGCTTGTGATTATGACTGTGGTTACAACACCCATTCCCACTTGGCCTAACAGTTCCAGAACACTGGCATGGTAATGGCCGTTCCTCTTCGTTGTTATAGTAACAACTCATCATAAGTCTACATATGAATGGTTTATGGGTGCTAGCCTGCTAGGCAGAGCCATATAGTTACAACTGCCTCCTGTTTTGTCTGTTCTTATGCAGTGGTTTAGCCAGACAGCCTGAGAGTTTAGGTCTGACCCGTTTCACTTCCAGGGTTGTAAATTAAATGTCCCGAATTGGCTGTCGTTTACAGTGGGTTCTGAACTTGACACCCTTGAAAAAGATGACTTAAGTAATGACTTTTTGACCCTCTAACTTTCTCACTCATTATTCACGATTCGTTCAGGATTATATCTCATTTACATAAGTATTAACATCCCTGAGTCAATACGTTGTAGAAGCACCTTTACCAGCGATTACAGCTGTGAGTCTTTCTGGGTAAGTCTAAGACCTTTCTACACCTGGATTGTGCAACATTGACCAATTATTATTATTTTCAAAATTCTTCAAGCGCTGTCAAATTGGTTGTTGATCATTGCTAGACAACCATTTTTAAGGTCTTGCTATAGATTTTCAAGTAGATTTAACTCTCTAAACTGTAACTCGGCCACTCAGGAACATTCCCTGTGGAAAGCAGACTGAACCAGGTTTTCCTCTAGTCTCCCAGTGTCTAGTGGAAAGCAGACTGAACCAGGTTTTCCTCTAGTCTCCCAGTGTCTGGTGGAAAGCAGACTGAACCAGGTTTTCCTCTAGTCTCCCAGTGTCTGGTGGAAAGCAGAATGAACCAGGTTTTCCTCTAGTCTCCCAGTGTCTGGTGGAAAGCAGACTGAACCCGGGTTTGTCTGGTGGAAAGCAGACTGAACCAGGTTTTCCTCTAGTCTCCCAGTGTCCTGGTGGACAAGCAGACTGACCAGGTTTCCTCTAGTCTCCCAGTGTCTGGTGGAAAGCAGACTGAACCAGGTTTTCCTCTAGTCTCCCAGTGTCTGGTGGAAAGCAGACTGAACCAGTTTTCCTCTAGTCCTCCCAGTGTCTGGTGGAAAGCAGACTGACCAGGGTTTTCCTCTAGTCTCCCAGTGTCTGGTGGAAAGCAGACGAACCAGGTTTTTCCTCTAGTCTCCCATGGTCTGGTTGGAAAGCAAGACTGAACCAGGTTTTTCCTCTAGTCTCCCATGTCCTGGTGGTAAAGCAGACTGAACCATGTTTTCCTCTAGTCTCCCAGTGTCTGGTGGAAAGCAGACTGAACAGGTTTTCCTCTAGTCTCCCAGTGTCTGGTGGAAAGCAGACTGAACCAGTTTTCCTCTAGTCTCCCAGTGTCTGGTGGAAAGCAGACTGAACCAGGTTTTCCTCTAGTCTCCCAGTGTCTGGTGGAAAGCAGACTGAACCAGGTTTTCCTCTAGTCTCCCAGTGTCTGGTGGAAAGCAGACTGAACCAGGTTTTCCTCTAGTCTCCCAGTGTCTGGTGGAAAGCAGACTGAAACCAGGTTTTTCCTCTAGTCTCCCAGTGTCTGGTGGAAAGCAGACTGAACCAGGTTTTCCTCTAGTCTCCCAGTGTCTGGTTGGAAAGCAGACTAACCAGGTTTTCCTCTAGTCTCCCAGTGTCTGGTGGAAAGCAGACTGAACCAGGTTTTCTCTCTAGTCTCCCAGTGTCTGGTGGAAAGCAGACTGAAACCAGGTTTTCCTCTAGCTCCCAGTGTCTGGTGGAAAGCAGACTGAACCAGGTTTTCCTCTAGTCTCCCAGTGTCTGGTGGAAAGCAGACTGAACCAGGTTTTCCTCTAGTCTCCCAGTGTCTGGTGGAAAGCAGACTGAACCAGGTTTTCCTCTAGGAGTTTTGCCTGGGTTTAGCTCCATTCTGTTTATTTTTCATCCTGAAAAACTGCCTAGTCCTTACAAGCATACCCATAACATGATGCAGCCACCACTATGCTTGAAAATATGGAGAGTGGTACTCAGGAATGTGTTGTATTGGATTTGCCCCCAAACATAGTCTTTTGTATTCAGGACAAAAATATTAATTGCTTTGCCACATTTTGCAGTGTTACTTTAGTGCCTTGTGTTGCAAACCAGGATGCATGTTTTTGGAATATTTTTATTGACCCGTCTCAGGTGAAGGGCTGGAGTTGCACTATTAATGTCTGGGATTCAGAGATGGTAAGCTGATCCTAGGTCAACTCTAACCAGAGTATGAGAGACAGACATTCACCAGCTGTGTCTATGACCTCTTCAATGACCACTGCACACAGAATTATAGATCGATACGTCATTGCTTACAGACCTTTAGCCAACTTCTCCCTCGAGACTGCTGCATGGGCTGATGTCACTAGCTGTCTGTTGTAAGTAGATAACTAGTTAACCCCCAAAAGCATTCCTGACACTAGGCCAACATATCTCTCTCTCTCTATCTTTCCTGGAAGACCAACGTGGCAATGTTAGGGCCGGGTGGAAATGGCAGGTAAGGCTTCCATCTAGTAAGGTGCTAAAATAACTCCAATGGCCTGAGTGAAGGGAGGATGTGGACAAAGTAGGAGGATGATGACGTTTGGTAACTAAAATCTTACATGGATCACCTAAGAGCAGAATTCTGAC